TTATTACTTCTCGCGGCGGGGCTGCGGCGTTGTGTAGCGGCTCTCTCACCCCAGGACTGCTGTTGTCTTCACAGAGGCTCCCGGGGAGTCACCCAGCGCCCTGGGAGGCAGCCCACGGGCGGGCGTTTCGGGCCTCGGATTGACAGCGGATCACGGGAAGAAATGGGATTATTATGACCCTCTTCCGAGGAGCTATGCTGCCCGTCATGAGTAGGAAAAAAGGCCAGAAATACCTCGTTTGGTTGCTGTCTGGTGCTGCAAGCTTCTAGCTTTTTTTTTTTCCTGCAGTTGCTTGGAGTCTCTGAGCTGCACTGGATAAATGCCTTTCCCATCCGATTGACTCTGCTTTTCAGAATTTTTTTTTTATTTTTTTTTTTTAAGAACACTTCTCTGGTCTTCAATACTTGTTTGCATTTTACGCAACTGAACGGTTTCTCAGAGTAAAGGCCGCGCTCAGAATCACTGCCTGATGCTCCGGAGAGATGAATTGCAGCTGAAAGTTTCCCTTCCACCTTTGGATGAATCTCTGGAGTTTAAATTGTAGGAAGGAAGGGGGAAAAAAACACGATGAAAGAGAAGTCCAAAAATGCTGCCCGGACTAGACGGGAGAAAGAAAACAGTGAATTTTATGAACTGGCTAAATTACTACCCCTGCCCTCCGCTATCACCTCTCAGCTGGACAAGGCATCCATAATCAGACTCACCACCAGCTATTTAAAAATGAGGGTGGTTTTTCCAGAAGGTAGGTGGGAATGCTTATTTTATTCTCTTTCCATTCCGATCCAGGTGTCGCTTGTCGCTTTTACTTAAAAAGAAAGAAAAAAGAAAAAGAAAAAAGTAAATCGCATGGGGTGGTGTGCTCGGAGGCAGGGTGCTCTCTGCTGTCACTTTTCTCTGTCGTAAATACTTTCCCTTCGGATCCTATGACGGCTTTGCTTGGGGACTTAAGGTGCTTTTGTCAACACTTGAAGGCACTGAGCTCTGCTGCGTGCTCTGCTAAAGCAAACACGGGGTTTCTAATATATGTGTAAATATTTACATAAGTCTATGCAAAGTCCTAAAGGCTTAGTTCAAGTCTCGAGCAAAGGTGCGCTTTACAGGTACAGCACACGCGTGCGGGCGTGCTCACACGCACGCAGCCGAAATAAATGAGCCAAGCGCCCCAAATCGCATCATGAACGTGATGCTGGCTCGCTCCCGAGGATCATTAAGGCGGTTTGAGGGCGTTAATCGACCTGGGAAATTTTGAACAGGCGTTTTGTACCCGGACATACTCAATTCCCCTGCCCAGCCAACGCTGCAAACCCAGCGTCTGAGCCTGGGCCGGATTCTCCTCCGCGGTCAGGCGAGGCCAAAATTCGCGTTGACTTCCACGGCAGCAGGCACGGCCCCGCCTGCCTAGCAAAACCAGACTGAAGTGTCCTAAACTATTCCTGGCTTTTAAGTAGAATTAGGATTTAAAGCAACCATCTTGGGGCTCCTAGACTGGCTGCCAAGAAAAACAAACGGCACAGAAAGTTAAGAGAGTCGGAATAAAGTTCTCCAGTGTTCTCAGTCTATTGCTTTCATAACATGTGTGTGTGGGGGGGAAATCAAAAATACTCCACGAACCTTTTCTTTAGATCAACTCGATTCAGAGACAGTCTGCATGAAAGAAAAAGTAGTAAGAGGCTTCCCCCCCCCCCAACCTAAGAACAAAATTCACTGTATCTTTCGTTGAGAAACCTGTGTACAAGAAACAACGTAATACAGACGTGTCCCACTGTGATTTCCATAGCTATACCTCGAGTCGGTCAGTCTGTCGGTCTGTCTGTCTACTCTCTTTTAGAAATCAAGAGTGGGTGTACGGCCTGCTTTTGTTTTGCTTTGATTTTGGTTGGTTGGTCAGAGTTTTTTTTTAACCTGATTCATTCTGTGAACTCTCGGTCCTAATTCTACTTTTTAGACGTATATATGCAGTCGGGCAGTCATTTGGGCAGGTGGAAGTACCCTTCCACGGTTGCATCTGAACGCTTATACCTGGAGTCCACAGAAGTAATTTCCAATCTAGTGCATCTTGCAGTAGTTTCTGTAAACGGTGTGCTGTATGTCCGAGTCACTTAGAACCAAATAAGGGGCAAATGAAAGCTGTAACACCCGAAACCTTTAAAAAATAATAATAATAAAGGCCTTCGTGGAGCCGCTTTCCTCTCCTATGTGATCTGCCGCCTCGAAGGTGGCTATGCGGGGCAGTCCTCGGTTTCAAAGGAGGCCGAGTTGTCCTTTATACTGTCAGCGCATACTTTATAAAAATAAAGCTATTGCAAACTCTGATGCCTACGATGTTCCTAAAAGGATTATTAGCAATGATTTGTCAACTCCTGCGGTCTCAGTAGGCTACCTTTCTGCGTGATTTCGAGCGGGTCTCGTCAATTACGGGTGCCTATGCAGCGGGTTGTTTGATCAGAAGAAGCATATGGTGTTGCTTGTAGGCTGTGAGTAATCACGGGAAGAGAAGAATAGCTGATCCCCGTCCCTCGGCGGCAGCCCAGGATGTTTGAATGCCCCGGGGGACCGTGTGGCCAAGTGCGCCGGGGCCGGGGCCGGGGCCGCCCGCAGCAGATGCTAATTTGAGCGCGGAGGCGGA